ATTCGAATCGGAGATGAATTTTGTTAAAATCGAGGATATTACATCGAGACTTCCCACCATCGTCAGGGCCAGGGGGGCAGCCCTTGGCGGATGGCCTAGGCCCGTATCATGATCGGTGAGACAGCCCAACAGTACGCTGCTCGTTCACCCCCTCTAAAGAGCCTTAGAGATTTTAGAGCTATGCTACCACTAACCATTACAATGTTTGAAATGGAGACACTTTTCCTAGCACAAGAGATCTACCCAGTCATGGCCCTATACATGGGTGGCTCATGACAACCTAAGCCCCGGTCATGGCCCTATACAAGGTTGGCTCATGACATCCTCTCCCACCTATTCTATCAACGTCCTCGTCGACTTGCTGGCTTGAAATTCTTTAATCTTTCTCTTGAATCTTTGGAGGTCGTATTCCCTTTCCCAGCTGGTTTCTTTTAGTCCTAATCCCTCCCACTTCACTAAGTATTCACGAACTAGTCTTTGAGATACCTTGGTTTCCTTGTCGACTAAAATCTCTTCGACTCGACGCTCTGAGGGTGGCTTCATGGCGATGGTAGTTCTGGTTGGCTCCTTTCAGCTAGCATCTGTAAGATCTACATGAAAAGGTTTCAGGTTGCTCACATGAAATACTGGGTGCACCTTCATCCACTTTGGTGGGTTGATTTTGTAAGAAACATTCCCCACCTTGGAAAGGATTTTCACTGGACCCTCATATTTACGCACTAGTCTACGATCTCTCTTTCTCAAGAACCTGGTTTGTTCAAGGACTAGTCAAACAAGAACCAAATCACCAACTTGAAATTGTTATGCCCTGCGACCTTTGTCTGCCCATTTTTTCATTCGTTTCAATGCTTTCTCCAGGTAGGCTTGTGCAATTTCAGTGTTTTGTTTCCACTCCTTGTCGAGGTTGAAGGCTCTCAGATTTTTCCCTTTATATTGCTCCAAGAAAGTATGGGGTAGCCTTGGTAATTGTCCGGTGACCACCTCAAATGGGCTCTTGTTAATGGAAGAGCTTTTGTTGGAATTAAAGCAAAGCTGAGCAACGTCCAATAACGAAGGCCAGTTCTTTTGATTGGCTTGAACAAAGTGCCTTAAGTATTCCTCTAGTAATCCATTGAACTATTCCGTTTGGCTGTCGATTTGAGGGTGGTAGCTTGAGGAGATGTTAAGTTGGGATCCTAATATCTTGAAAAGTTCTCTCCAGAAGGACCCCGTGAATCTCGGATCTCTATCGCTTACAATGTTTTGAGGGATGCCCCAGTATTTGACCATATGTTTAAACAATAGTCGAGCTGTGTCTTTCGTAGTACAATACTTGTGAGTGGGAATGAATGTGGCGTACTTAGAGAAATAGTCAATCACCACCAAAATAGCTTTAAGATCACCAACCTTGGGTAAGCTCAAAATGAAATCAAGAGATATGCTTTCCTATAGTCTAGCGGGCACCGGTAATGGTTCAAATATGCCTACAGGTTTTTTCTTTTCAACTTTGTCTTGTTGGCAAATGAGATAAGTCTTTGTATAGTCCATCACGTCTTGTCGTATGTGAGGCCAATAGTATCCCTATTTCAATAAAACCAAAGTGTGTTGCCAGCCCAGATGTCCGGCCCATGGTGTGTCATGACATTTCTTATCAACATCTGTCTCAGACCTTTTACTCTTGGCAAAAATAATCGGGGCCCCTTGGTCCACAAGATCTCATTTTCTTGCCAGAAGTACTTGGACTTCCCTCTTCAACTAGCTTTAGGATGGCACTGTCTTGCGGGTCCTTCCCTAAATGATCTTTAATTAACTTGCAAATATCTGTCGTGACTCTGCTAGCCACCATTGGGGTAACTCTTCTAAAGGCTGTTAATTCTGTTCGTTTGCTCAATGCATCAGCCACTTGATTGGTCTTTCCAGCGGTGTGCTCAAAACAAAAGTCGAACTCCGCTAAATATTCTTGCCATCTAGCCTGTTTCATTGTAAGCCTTGGTTGGGTGAGGAAATGGCTAACGGTCGCATTGTCTGTCTTCACGACAAAGTGTGATCCCAACAAATAATGTCGCCAAGCCCTCAAACAGTGAACTACCGCTAATAGCTCTTTTTTCTGGGCCGTATATTTCCTCTCAGCTTCGCTTAGCTTCCTACTTTCAAATGCTATTGGATGATGTTGTTGTAAAAGCACTCCCCCAATGGCAAAATCAGATGCATCCGTCTGAACTTCGAAAGGCTTTTCAATATCAGGGAGAGCTAAAATAGGATCCTTCATAATAGCATCCTTCAATCCCTAAAAGGCATCTTGACACTTACTTGTCCAACACCATTTATGCTCTTTTTTCAATAATTTCATGAGGGCCGTGGTCTTGCGAGAGTACCCTTCTACAAACCTTCTATAATAGTTGGCTAGTCCCAAAAATGACCGAAGTTAACTAACATTCTTCAGTGTTGTCCACTCCTTGATGGCCCTAACCTTTCTATGTCCATTCGAATGTGGCCACGTTCGATAATGTGATCAAAAAAGTGGATTTGGGTCTGAGCAAATGTACATTTCTCTCTTTTCACATATAACTGGTGGTCTTGTAATCTTCGAAGCACCTGGCGCAAGTGTTCTTGATGTTCTTCTAGAGTGGAGCTATATACCACTATGTCGTCTGAATATATGACTATAAATTTGTCTAGATAGCCATGGAACACCTGATTCATTAATGTACAAAATATGGCAGGAGCATTGGTTTGTCCAAAGGGCATAACAAGAAATTCAAATGCACCATATCGTGTTACATAAATGGTCTTTGGCTCATCTCCTTCAGTGATTTTGACCTGATGGTAGCCAGATTTCAAGTCCAATTTGGAAAAGTACTTGGCCCGGCTTAATTGATCAAACAAATCTACTATAAGAGGGATGGAATATTTGTTTCTCACGGTGACTTTGTTCAGGGCTCCTTTGGTTTTTAATTTGGCCATTTGTAACCAATCCAAAATGTACGGAATCGCAGAGTAATAGAGTGCGGGGTAGTGGTGGAATAGGGACTGGGGAGTGTGCGGTGCTGGCCTGGTGCGCAAGGGCAGTGGCTGGTGCACTGTGCAGAGGCATGGGCATTTGACTTGTTGTGGCAGTGGCTGCCGACCATTTTGTTTACTGTTTTTTTCTTTTTTTTTAATTTAATCTCTTTTTTGTGTAATTTAATTCTTCTTTTTTTTGTAATTAATTTTTATATTATATTTTTATAATTTGATTAATTAATTAATTATATATATTAGCAATTTTCTAATTAATTAAATTAATTATAAATGATAATAAAAATTAAATTAAATTAAAAACAACTAATTTAGAATAAGTTTGGACAAATTTAATTTAATTTAATGCTTAAACCCATTTAAATAAAAACATGTAAATCATACCTAAAAGATCAAATAAATTGCAATTAATCTGAACAAAATTAAGTATGTGACTTTTTTCAATAATTATATACATGTTGGTTTGTTAAATATTTATTCATGTTTTAGTAAAAGTTATGTCTTATAATTTTAAGTATGATTCTAATTTTTATTTGTACATGTGATAAAAAATAATTTCTTGTATTTTCATATTAATGATAGCTGACCAAACAAACATTTTCAATTATCAAGTTTTTCTTTTTATTCGAAATGGACGGATTCCAACCTTAACTATAAAGAATTGAGCATCAACCGTAATTCTCTTTCTCTTCAACTTCTTAATGTTTTACAAGTTTTTTAGCTTGAACGCAATACATTGGTTTAGAAATTGCATATAAGAACTATAATACTTTTAGCTATTGTAACACTTAAATATGATTAGTGAGCATTGTATCTCAATAAGCATGAATGTACTTCCTTATTGAAAGAGTCAGGTTTTATTTTATTTTATTATTATTATTTTTTTTTTTTGTAAAAACAAATGTTTCTTTCACTTTTCGTGGGTGGAATCAATTAATTAATAATTTTTAATAACAAAAATCTATACATTGCATATAGGCTTAAGCTTTAAGTTAAGGACATTCTGATATAACTATCAAGGTATAAGATAACGCATTCTCATCTGAATGGAAAGGTACATAAACAAGTAAATTCCTTATTGACACTTTTAATTTAAGAGAATTCATCATTGAAGGAAGTACACTGCACAAAATTTTCAAAAATTTTCCTTTGAATAAATCATATTTAAGTTCTTTTCATTCTAGAAGGTAGAATAGAATAATAGGTTGAAGCATAATGATTATACTACACCTGTGATGCATTATATGTCCTATAATAAGTCTCATTCTTCTACTCTTTTCCGGAAAGTCGATGATTATTCATATCTATTTATTTAAAAGGTTGTTTAAGTATCTAAAATCTAAATCTTTAGCATCTTAATAGTTCAGAGATTAATTTACCGACAGTTCAATAAATGATGTTGTAATTACTTGAATTTTTAAATTCATGCTCAGTTATATGTAAGTTTTATCTAATTTTTTGTTGAATTCTTTTACAATTATATATGCTGGTTTGTTAAGTTATTCATATCTTTGTTGGTTTCTTTTATAAGATGTACCCGGTAAAAGTTATGTCAAATTTTTATTGATGATTGAAATATTTTTAGTGTCAAATTTTGATTTACGATTGTAATCGTTTGTGTTAAATTTTTATTTATGATTGTAATATTTTTATTTGTACATGCGATTAAACAAAAAGCAATTCCTTTTCTAATCTATACTTGGCCAAACGTTTTACAAGTTTTTCTCACTTTCTTAAATGAAATTAATTAATATTAGTTTTTTTTTAATATATATCTACAAAGTATTGTTTAAGATGTTTTGTAATATATATATATATATATATATATATATATATGTATGTGAACCCACGCGCCTATGTGTAAAATAAAATTAAAGTTTGTTTGATAATTGGCATAAAAGAGAATAATTTTTTAAATGAAATTAATTAATATTAGTTTTTTCTTTTAATATATATCTACAAAGTATTGTTGAAGATATTTTGTAAAATATATATGAAATGAAATTAAGTTTTGTTTGATGATTGACATAGACGAGAATAAGTCATATGGAGAAGGTGAATGGTACTTTTTTACTCCAAGGGATAACAAATATAGGAATGGGTCAAGACCAAAACGAGCAGCGGGTGATGGATATTGGAAAGCCACGGGAGCCGATAGGATCCTTAAATCTAAGGAGGTTGAAGTTAGGATATAGAAAAGCGTTGGTTTTCTATAAAGGGAAACCTCCTAAAGGACAAAAGACTGATTGGATGATGCATGAATTCAGACTTAAAGATCCTCCTGCCAGATCCAATCCTTCCATTGGTGATATGCAGGTATTTAACTATAAATCTTTTTTAATGCTTAGATACTCTTATAATATTTAATTCCGTTTTCTTTTTTTTTTTTTTTGGTTTCTTTTTGTTTCTCTTTTTACTATAGTAGACTCCTACACTAAATTGTCTTGCAGCTGGATGATTGGGTATTGTGCAAAATTTATAAAAAGATTGATAAATCTGTGAAAACATCAAATCGCAAGCATATTGTTAGCGTTGAGAATTTAGAGTTGGATAATGCAACAATTTCACCTCCATCATCAGAGCTTAATCTAGTTTAAGAATCGATTAATATGTTACCGCAACAAAGATCGGTGCTAGGAAGTCAATTGGGACAGCTGGAAAAAGATGCTACTTTGAATGGACTTTCTACTTTTCCCAAACTTTATTATGATGGTATGATGCTGGAGCAAAATTCTACATCATTTTTAGACAATATTTGTGATTATTATGATTACAATTTCATGCCCGTAGAACCAGCTGCATTGCCTTCGCCAATACCTCCATTCGAGTCCATGGCCAATCTTGACCAATTCATCAGCATGCACCATGAGGACAAACTTTCAAGTGTTAATTTTGACTTCTCTTCTCAATTTTTTGATCATCAATATCCTTCATAATTAGCTTTTTTAATTTACTTTCAGGTATTTCCTCACATACTCTATATATTATTGTTACTAAAATTAGTTTTTTTTTTTTAAATTATTTAGGCTTAAGGTTTTGGGTTCTATTACTATTTCAAGCTTAATTTTTAAAATAGTAAGACTTTTCTTTTCTTAATTATTTTTAAAGTATTAGCGAGTATCTTAGTTTTTTTTTTTTTTTTTAGATCTTGCTGGTAGAGTACCCATGAAGTTAGCTTATCATGTATCGGTATTTTATTTGTTTTATATGATTTGAATTTCGGAGATATTTAATGTTATTTTTTAGAAATAATTGTATAAATTTACTGTATTAAAAGAGTAATACAAAATGGAGGAGGAAAAAAAAAGATAAAATCATACCTTGACTTACAAAAGGGAACCAAGTCCAAATTGAACTTTTAAGGTGAATCATTTCACAAACATCAAACATGATCATTCAGGGCTTCAGTTGCTCGTGTGATTTTTCCTCTATTCTCTATGTGTGGGAGATATGAAGTTGGGGTGTGAGAAGCTTGCAGGCTAGGGGGCTACTGGAAGCGTTAGCATCCACCAATTTTGTCATAGATAAGATTCATTGAGGAGTTGGGCTTGCTTGGGTGGACAGGTTTGTCTAGTGAAAACTAGATTTTGCTTGATGGTTTTAATTAGTTTTGATATTTCACCTAGGATTTTGGTGACACTTTCAAAATTGATGGCGTACTCAGGTTAATTGAAACCATGGAAAAGATAAGAAAACATCTATAGAGTACTCATAGACACATAACATGTACAAAGAACTCACATGATTGATTTCATGGGAGTAAAGATTCATTACTTTTGCGGTTGTCACTGAATTCATTTCCACTTTGTCCTATATCTGGGTTGTAAAGATGCAACTTCCTACTGTTTGGGTGCATTTCATGTTGGAGATTAGATAATTCACATTGATTGTATGTATATTTCAGCCAGTATAACATTTGTTTAAGGAAATGACAAAATGAAATAAACAGGAACCTGAGCCGCAAGCTGAGGGAACAAAACATCTGTAAGTTGGGGACATACCAGAGGCATCAAAGCAAAATACATGAAAATAAACATCATCGTGCATCAATACTGCAAAAGCAAGATTCATATAGTAACCAGCTTTTGCAGCATTATTCTGTTTAACATCATATAGTAAGAACATATTCTGGGTAGTTTTCTTGTGTCAGCAATGTTACTTGTAAGACGATCAGTTGAATGGTTTTGAAGGTCAATAATAATCATACACTTGAAAAGAGTATATTGTTGGGAAATAAGCCACACTTGGAGCCCATGGGAGCACACCAGAAAATTCATATATACATGTTAGACATCACTTGAGCCCAAAAACTTAAGCTACTAGGTTTTTGGGTGCTCCATATATATATAAGAGATCTCATTCATATTTTTTTAATGATGTGAGATTTTTTACTCACATGTGAACCTTATCCCAATAATTTCTCCAATATATTTGTAAGTTCTGATCAAGTCCCACCTTGGCTCCCCCGTGTGAGTAAGTCCTATCAACACCTCATTTTTGGGCGAAGCAACCTCACCTCTAGTGCACTCTTAGGCTAGGCCTCGAGACTCAACCTTGCCACTTAGGTTGTCTCAGTGTCCCTTCAAGTTTGCACTCTAGGTTGATTCAATACATAGCCCACTTGGGTATTCCACTTCTACATATTATCATATACTTGCTGCATCCAAGTCGAATAATTTAATACCAACGTTTGAGCACATGAAGTTGATGGATGCATTTAACCTCCGATCTATCAACAATCTCCCCCCCCCCAAGCAACACTACTGAGACTCGAAACCCGTGACTTTGACTCTGATACCACTTGTTGAGCCTGAAGTAATAAATATAATAGCGCAGAACCAATATATCGTAATAAACCTATAGTAATAGAAAACAATCAATAATCAACAATGCAGAAAAATAAAACATACCAAGATTTACATGAAAAATCCTTCAGTGTTAGGAAAATGGGGTCTAACCCCATGTAATTGGTTTTGGACCAATCAAAGACCATAGGTCTTGGTCTTTTTTTTTACACAAAGTCCTAGCTACTTAATAAAAAGAGATGAGGTTGTTTTAAGGTGGCGCCACAAACCAAGAAAAGAAAAGGAAAAAAAAAAGCTAGAAAAATAGAGAGAAAATGGAAAAGGAAGAGTTAGTTGAACAAAAGTCGATCCGTAATCCGATTAAGCTAAAATTTTGTTAGCAGCTTTATGATTCAAAATTTTACATTTTGAACAATGAAGATCAAGTTTGAAGTTTTTTAAGAACAAATTTAGGGTGTATTTGTTGAGTTATCTGTTTGGTAAGATTTTTTTTTATTGCCTCTTTAGTTGTTGATTATCTCTAGTTTTAGTTAAAGAAGAATTTTGTATATCCATTATTTGATAGTGAAGATTTTTTTGGTGATCCGTAGTTTTTTCCTCTACACTAGAGGGTTTTCACGTAAATCTTGGTGTGCCTTTATTTTTTTTACGTTGTTGATTATTGATTGTTGTCTATTGTTGTGGGTTTATTATGATATATTACTTTTGTGTTATGTTTATTACTTCAGGGCCAACAAGTAGTATCAGAGCAAGGGTTATTTTAAGACATTGATACAAAAGCAACCCAAGATAGAAGTAAATTCTATTTGAGATCATAAAGGGTGATAGAGATTTCATGATAAAATTGACAGTATCAAATTAGTTAATTTGAAAGCCTATAATGGAAGATCATTTATATTGTAAAAATTTATATGAGCTGGTATTAGGTGATTCGACTCAACCAGCAAATATAAAAAATGAAAGTTGAAAGAAGTTAGATAGAAAAATGCTAGCTATAATAAAAAAATATGCTGATATCAGTGTATTCCATCATGTAGCACAGAAGATTGATATCTATATATTTGAAAAAAAAATTAGCAGTATTGTATAAGAAAAAAATGTATGAATAAAGTTATGCTTGTTAAAAAGCTTATAACTTTACAATACAAGGATGAACAATCCATTACAGAGCACTTGAGTGATTTTCAAGATATATTTAATCGGATAACTACTACAGAGCTTAAGATGGATGATGAAATGAATGCATTGTTTCTTTTGGATTCATTGCCAGATAGCTAGAATACTTTAGTTGTGACTATTTTTAATTCAGCTCTTGATTACAAAGTGACACTAGAGATGGTAAAGGACAGTATGCTTAATGAAGAAGGAAGGCGAAAAGATTCAGACCCTGAAAATCAAGCTCTGGTAATAGAGAATAAGAGTAAAAACATCAAAAGAGGTCAGAACTCAAAAGGCCATAATAAGTCTAAACATAGATCTAAGTCTAGAGATAAAGTGAAGTGCTTTTATTATGGTAAAATAGGTCATATAAAACGATACTACAAAATCTTAAAGCAAAAGCGAAAAGATGAGAAAGGTAAAAGTTAAGATGATGGCAATATTGCAATAGTAAATTCAAATAGTGATCCAGTTACTTTAATTTGTACACATAGTGATTGTAATCATATTGGTGATTATGACATTGAGTAGATAGTTGACATAAGAATGGTATGTCATTATGTTCCTAAGAGAGAGTTGCTTACAACTTACAAAGCAAGAGACTTTGGTTGCACTAAGATGAAAAATAAGAGTGTCATAATTGTTAGGATTGGTGATATTATTGTACAAATTAGTATGAGCTACAAATTGACTTTAAAGGATGTCAAACACATTTCGAATATGAAAATGAACTTGCTTACTATTAATATCCCTGATAAAGAGGGATATGAGAGTCAACAAAAGAATGGACAGTGAAAGCTTCTCAAAGGATCTATGATAGTTGTAATTAAAAAACTATAATGCACAATATATAAGACATGTATCCAATTAAATGGTAACCAGACAAATGCCGTTGAGGATAATGCTTCAGCAGACTTATGGCACAAGAGACTGATACACATGAGTAAGAAAATGTTACAAGTTTTAGCAAGGCAGTCTCTCATTCTCTTAACCAAAGGTATATCTCTTGATTTTTGTGATCATTATTTGTCTGATAAGCATCGTAAAGTTTCTTTTCATAAGAGTTTCAAAGAAAAAAAATAGATTGGAATTGATTTATTATGACGTATGTGATCCCATTGAGGTTATGTCATTGAGTGGTAGTAGGTATTTTATTACTTTTATTGATGAAGCTTCACGTAAGATTTAGGTGTATATATTGAAAAACAAAAACTAAGTATTGCAATATTTTTAAAAATTTTATGTCATGGTGGAAAAGATGACAAGGCTACCCTTGAAGTGTATTCAGACTAATAATGGTAGGGAATACACATCTAAAGACTTTGAAGAATATTATTCAAAGCATGGGATCAGGCATGGGATGGCAGAACTTGGAACATCACAGCATAATAGTGTAACTGAAAGGATGAATCGCACTATTATGAAAAAAGTCATATGTATGTTAAGGATAGCAAAATTACTAAAGCCATTATGGGGTGAAACAGTCAATACAGCTTGTTATTTGCTTAACAGATCACCATCAATTCATTTGGGCTTTGACATTTCAAAAAGAGTATAGACAAGGAAAGATGCTTCATACTCTCACTTAAAAATTTTCAAGTGTAAAGCATTTATGCATATGTCAAAAGAGCAAAGGTCAAAGTTTAACAATAAAGTCACATGTGTGTTTGGAAGATATGGTGATGAAGAATTTGGTTGTAAGGTATGGAATCTAGTGAAGAGAAAGTCAAAAGTAGAGATGTAGTCTTACATGAAAAAAAAAATCATAACAGATCTCGAGAAAAATAAAAAGACTACATGGATTACTGTTAAGTGTGATATTTCAACACCAACAGGGGTTCTGCAGAAAAAAGCCACAAATGATGGAAATGAACAAGAAAAAAAACTTGAAGATATGAATAAGCCAGCCACAGTTAGTGATAAGCTAGATGCAATCAGTTTTGAGCTGAAAGAGCAATCTTCTCTACTTAAGAATATTAAGCAGGGTGAGCAATCTTCTCCACTAAAAAATGTTGAGCAATGGGAGTTACATTCGACATCAGGTGGTGTAGAGTCTTAGCCTAAGAGATTTACCAAAAAGCACAAGCCATCTACCAAGTATCCAAGTTTAGATTTTATTTTAGTTACTAGTGAGGTAGAGCCAAAGAGCTTTCAAAATGTATAGGCTACTCTAAATAGAGAGCACTGATTAAAAGTAATAAAAGAAGAGATAAAGTCATTACAAAAAAATGGTACGATCTTGTTAAACATTCGAAAGAGATAAAGCATTGAAGAATAAATGGGTGTTCAAGTTAAAAAAAGATGGTGACAAACTAGTGAGGTACAAAGCTCGATTGGTGGTGAAAGGTTTTTCTCAAAAATCAAGCATCGATTTTAATGAGACTTTCTTTCCAATTGTGAAAATGAGTTCCATTTGAGTGGTATTGAGATTAGCAGTTAGTTTGAATCTTGAGCTTTAGCAACTTGATGTTAAAACTACATTATTGCATGGTGACTTGCATGTGAACATTTATATGGATCGACCTGAGAATTTTAAAGTGAAAAGAAAATAGCACTTAGTTTGTAAACTGAAAAAAAGCTTATATGGCTTGAAACAAGCTCATGACAGTGGTACAAAAAGTTTGATTCTTTTATGGTGAGCCACAGTTATAAAAGAACGACAGTGGATCTTTGTATGTATGTCAAAAAATTTTATGATGGTAACTTTATTATTCTTTTATTATATGTTGATGATATGTTGATTGTAGGACAAGATACTGGTATGGTTCATAAATTGAAAGAATAATTGTCAAGTCATTTGATATGAAAAATTTAGGTCTAGTAAAACATATTCTTAGTATAGACATTATTCGAGATAGAAGAGCTGAAAAACTGTGATTGTCACAAGAAAAGTATGTTGAATGGGTGCTTAGTAAATTCAACATACAACATGCTAAATCAATTAACAGTCTACTTGCCAACCATTTTCATCTGAGTAAAAAATCTTGTCCATTAACTAAAGAAGAGCAACTAGCTATGTCTAGTATTTCTTATTTTTCTGCAGTCAATTTTTTTATTTATCTTATGGTTTGTACACAGTCTGACATTACTCATGCAGTTGGTGTAAATGAGTATATTTTTTCTAAATCGAAAAAGGTTCACTGAAAGGCAGTTAAATAGATTTTCAGATATTTGAAAAGGCACCTCAAAAATGTGCTTGAGTTATGGATTTCACAACCAGTTCTAAAAAGGTTTACTAATGCTGACATGGCAAGAGATCTTAATAGTAGGAAATCTACTTCAGGGTATTTATTCATTTTTACGAGAAAAGTTGTATCTTGATAGTCTAAGTTACAAAAAATATTACTTTGTCAACTACATAGGCTGGGTATATTGCAACAACCTAAGCAGGTAAAGAAATGCTTTGGATGAAATATTTTTTTCTTAAATTAGGATTGAATCAGAAAAAATATGTGATATTTTTTGATAGCCAGAGTGCTTTAGATTTAAGTAAAAATGCCATGTACCATGCTAAAATGAAGCATATTGATATTAGATATCACTGGTTACATTCAATGATTGAGGAACAACAAATGCTGTTGAAAAAAGTTCATATTGATGAGAATATAACAGATATGTTAACTAAGATACTTCTCAGAAAAAAGCTTGAGCTCTGCAGTAACTTAGCTAAAATTGGTTCTTTAACCAAAGTAAATTCTAAATGAAACTATTATGGTGATGAATCTCCTCTTAATGGGGCTAGAGAGGGATATTGTTAGGAAAATAGGGTCTAGCCCCATGTAATTAGTTTTGGACCAATCAAAGGTCATAGGCCTTAGTCTTTCTTTTTACACAGAGCCCTAGTTACTTAATAAAAAGATGTTGGGCTATTTTAAGGTGGCACCGCAAACCAATAAAAGGAAGGGAATAAAAAAGCCAAAAAAAATAAAAAGAAAAGGGAGAAGGGAGAGTTGATTGAACATAAGTCGATTCGTGGTTTGATTGAGCTAAAATTTTATTAACAGGTTTTTTATTTAGAGTTCTACATTCTGAAATGGGAAAATTAGGTTTAAAGCTCTCTAAGAACAAATCCAGGATATATTTATTGAGTTACCTATTTGGTGAGATTTCTTCTATTATCTCTCTAGTTGTTAATTAGCTCTAGTTTTAGCTAGAGAAGAACTTTGTATATCCATTATTTGATAGTGGAGATTTTTATCATGGTTCGTGATTTTTTCCCTCTACACTGAAGTGTTTTCCATGTAAATCTTGATATACTTTATTTTTCCTACATTGTTGATTGTTGTCCATTATTGTGGATTTATTGCGATATATTGCTTCTGTGTTGTTGTGTTTATTACTTCAGGCACAACAAATATTTCTTATCTTGCAAAAATTTAATTCATTTGCTCCTTTTGTTTTTGAACAGCAATTGAATTTCGTTTTACGTTAGGTATAAATCTCCTAATTGCCTTTCTCCAATTTATTCTCTGTGGAAATTTGAATATGGAAATAAGGAAATAGAACAAAACCATACAAAGAAAAATGAGAAAACAGATGGATATGGAAGTTTCTTAAAATGGGAAAATTAGATACATGTTGAGGTAGAGTCGATGGTTTTAGTGAAAAATACATTTGGATCTCTTCACCATTTCCAGAAAACATTGGAACCACACTTGTATTTGTCCTTTCCTTCACACTCCAAGGCCAAATCATCAGAGATGAATGGTACTTTCTGCATCCACAAACCAACAAAACAAAAATTAAAAAAAAAATTCTTAATTAAATATCATCATGAGATGGAGATCATGAACTAAAACTCTCAAAGAAAGCAGATGTGAGAATTGAACCTTTTGCTTTGCAAGGTCCTGGCAGCCAGTAAAGTTCTCAGGGAACTTGCAGCTACCAAATTCAACGGTGTATGCTCTGGCAAAGTTTGCTCCACTTGTGGCCAACCTTTTCTTGTCATTCAATTCCTGCAGCAATATTGACCATATACCAATGATCACCAGCTTAATAAGGTTAATCTATTCTATTTCACTCTACAACTACAAGAACTCCTAGCATGTTATTGATCTTATTCAGTTTTCATAGCTAACACACCTTGTTAGCTTTGCTCTTTTCAAGGTAATCATCAATGACCCCAGCATTTGCAGAAGAAGCAGCAGCCGTGGTGAAAAGGGTAGCTGCCAGACGCAGCATAGCAGCTCTTCTTCCTTCACTGGCACGTGATTCTTTGGAATCAGAAACTTTAGCCTGCTGGGCTCTGATCACGTGCAACTTGTGACCGCCAGATACAACTGTCGAATAAACTGAAGACACTGAAGTGAGCTTGGCATTAAGATAAGATGATCCAGTGCCTGAGATACCGTAGTTGCATGCCAAAACGCAGGAATTCATGGCTGCCATTTCTGCAAAAGAGACTTTGTTTACTACAGATAACGGAGCTTAATTGGCTTTTTCAAAGTAGTCTTTGAGTAGAATAGATTTGTGATTGAGAATATTTGATAACGAGTGATGTGGCAAGAGAAGATGAATTGGGTGAAAGATTGTGGTTAGAGTGTGGATAAGGTGAGATTGCCTCACTCCGATCCTATTGGCAAACCTTACTAAGGCATGCTATTTTTGGTGCAACTATTGTTGTGTGGCGAGCATGAATTTTGGGTCCACTTTGGAATCTAAATTTGTGCTTGTTATCTCACTGGCCTGGGAGTCAGGAGCTCAGGGCAGACAACATAATTTTACAACTTCAATCAAGATATTCGGAACGTCTTACATACTTTTGATGCATTAGTATATATGTCTTAATTAACCAAATAAATAATATAGGACTTGAGTCTGAATCTCCAAAATCACCTTAATTTTTAAGACAGTTCTTTCATGTTGGACTGATTACAAGATTATTTCTAAAGAACTTGTTAATTTATTATAGGCTAAAACCATAGCCAGAGAAGCTGATTACAAAAAATCAATTTTGGAACAAGAAAATGGTAATATAAGGGATTTAGCTTTGAAATTTGATATGAATAAGACATAAAGATAGAGTGAAATGAGATTTTTTGGAGGCTGTTTTGAAGAAAATGGGTTAGTACATTTACATGATGAGGTACTTACCCAGTCAAACAAACAAGAAGAAATATCTTTATTTTTCATTTATAATTATACGGTATATGAATTCTACTTTATAATTAATCTGATTTGTCAATCTCCAAACGAAGGATATTAATGAAGCCTTTTGGGGATCAATTGGTGAAGAGATGCTTTAAATGCAATTGTTTGCAATTAAACAACCACTAGGCCAGATTTAGGAGGGGTATTTCATGTCATGTAGTAACAATAAAGAAGCTAGACACCCAGTCTCTCTCTAATGATCATCTTCAAAACCTTACATCTTTCATCTTTTTTCCCCTACACCTGCAATCCATCATTATACATAAATCTATTCTCACGGTCTCATTCACTTGCAGCAAAGTCCAACTTATTCTATATAAAAATGCTAGTACATATATATATATATATATATATAAACCTGTTCTAACCGTCTCATTTACTTCCAACAAAGTCCAACTTATTCCAACAAAGTGCTGGTGGCCAGAACGTGGAGGTGGCATGCAGCTTTAAGGGCAGTGAAAGAAGAGCTGGGATCAGAGTACGTTGCATTAAGATACTTATAATAATTACGTAGTACTATTATTTATAAGAGAATAATGTTTTAGCATTGGAATTTGCACTTGTTGAATTATTGGTAAAGAAAAAAAATGAAATGCTACTATATTTGCTACTTTTATGATATGAATTTCTGCAGCTCATTTTTTATGCCTGTCTTTTTAACGGCATTTGTTTTTCCACAAGTATTTTAAGACGTCACTTCAAAGAATTCTTTGGTAGCAACCATTTCTTGTAGACACCATTAACAGCACAATTCAAGAAGCAGCAACTCTAATGTATTTATTATTATTATGAAACTAAGTGCATCTGATTTCTTAGTAACAAATTAGGGAAACCTCCAGATGTCTACCGGTATGAACAACCTAAATTTCCGTGTGATAGCCACTGTCTTGGAGTGGAAATGTACATGTCAAAGTCAAGAAAATCAACTTTAGCACCAAAATGATGCCAAAGCATGCACTTTCCATGAGATCATTCCATTTTTTCTTTTTTTCTTTTTTTGGGGGGGGGGGGGGGGGGGTAAGAAAAAAGGATTACAAAGAACCACATTAACTATAAACCGAGGGAAAGCTACTCCAGCCCCATCTGCTGTCCATATCATGTCAATTTCTTGGTATTGGTCATTAAAGACAAAAAAACTTTGGATGCATGCATGCGTTCAAACTTCTTTTGGGCAACAAATGTGCAGCAAAATTTTGCTATCTTGGAATGTGTTGCAATTCCTATTCTCGAATATATATATATATATATATATATATATATATTAGTTTTTAACATGTGCATGACGTTCATATAATTTTTATTTTTAAAAATTCATATTAATAAATTTTTTTATATTATGATAAGAATGATAAATAATATTAATTTAATTTTGATTTTGATATAATATAAGTAAACTTTGATAATTTTTTAATAATTTTGATTTTGATAATTTTTGATAAAATTTTAGTAACTTTTGGTATAATTTTGATAATCATTAATAAAATTTTAGTTACCTCTTGATGTAATTTTAATAATTAATCTTTTAGTAACTTATGATATATTTTTAGTAATCGTTGATAAAATTTAAGTTATCATATATTTAATAATAAATTCTTGTAAGAAAGCTTAGATTCAATTCTTGAATAAGATAATTTTTTATATAATAATAATATTGTTTCATTCAAATTTAGAATTTTTTTTTCACTAAATTTTTTATTGAATAGATTTGTGGTAGGTATATCCAAGTCTCCCAAGATAAAATTTCAAGTTTCTATTATGCTAATAATCAAGATTCAATTCCTAACCACTTTAAGTCCAAAAAGTTTATCAATGATTGATAATCAAGTTATCATTACTTTATTATTATATTATCATCAATTTACTACTAAATTATTAGTGATATATTATTAAATTATCAATGATTTACTACTAAATTAGCATTGATTTACTATTAACTTATGAATGATTTATTACTAAGTTATGAATAATTTATTATTAAATTGTTAATGATTTATTACTAAATTACTGATGATTTGTAATAAAATTATAACTAATTTACTATTAATTTATTAATGATTTACTACAAAGATATCAATAATTAACTAATTTACTACTAAATTATTACTAATTTAATACTAAACTATCAATAATTTACATATAAATTATCAATGATTTACTATTTTGTTATTATGTATTTACTATTTTGTTATCATTAATTTACTATTTAGTTTTTGATTATTTACTACAAAATAATCATAGATTTTATTACAAAATTAACCATGATTCATTATCAAGTTATTACTAATTTATATTAAATTATCCATAATTTACTATTAAGTTATTTGACTATTAAATTATTGATTATTAACTACTACTAAATTGTATTGTTTTACTTTTAAATTTCAATAATAAACTACTAAATTATCATTGATTTATTATTAAATTATTTATAATTTACTACTAAATTAATCAATTAATTACTACTAAATTGAAATTTACTTACTATTAAGTTATCACTAATTTACTATTAAGTTATAATTGATTTTTTATTAAGTTATTAATAATTAAAAACTAAATTATCACTTGTTTTTATTAACCTATCATTGATTTACTAATATGTTCTTATACTTTTAAAACTATGAAATATGGAATTTAAACAACCCACTAATAATACGTGAGATAATTTTTTTTATATAATAACATTATCATTTTATTTAAATTTAAAATTTTTTCACTAATTCTTTTTATTGAATAAGTTCATGGTAAGTTTATCTTAGCCATAAAAATGAAAGTTTTGACTTCATTTTTATTAGCAACCAGGGTTCAATCATAGATAACTTCAAGTATAAAAAAAGTTATCAATGATTGACAATTAATTTATCAATTATTTACTATTACGTTATCAAAGATTTACTACTAAATTATCAATGATATTTACTTCTAATTTATGAATGATTTACCATTAAGTTATAAAATATTTATCATTAAGTTGTGAATAATTTCTCTTAAATTGTTGGTGATTTACTACTAAGTTATTGATGATTTATTGTAAAGTTATAATTAATTTACTACTAATTTATCGATAATTCACTAAAAAATCATCAATGATTAACTAATATACTACTAAATTATCTTGATTTATAATTAAGTTATTAGTAATTTATTATTATATTGTTAGTGATTTACTACTACATTATTAATTTACTATTAAATTTCAATTATTTATTATTACATTTTTATATATTTACTATTAGGGTATCATTAACTTACTACTTAATTTTTAATTATTTACTACAAAATTATCACCAATTTACCACTAAATTATCTATGATCCACGATCAAGTTATTACTAATTTATATTAAATTATGCATGATTTATTATTAAGTTATTATTGATTAACTATTATGTTATAAATTATTTATTACTAAGTTATATTGACTTACTTTTAAGTTTTCAATGATTAACTATTAAATTATCAATTATTTACTGCTAATTTATCATTGATTTGCTATCAATTAATTCTATTAAACTAAAATTGATTTACTATTAAATTATTACTAATTTACTATTAAATTATCATTGATTTATTACTAAGTTATCAATAATTAACTACTAAATTATCATTTATTTTTTGTTAAGTTATCCTTGATTTAATATTATGTTATTATACATTTACAACTATATTATAATTGATTTCCATTAAGGTATTATCATATATTATTATATTATTACTGATTTACAAAAAAGTTATCAATTATTTGTTACTAAATTATCATTTATTTATTATTAAGTTATCATTAATTTACTATTAAATTATAGATGATTATTACTATATTATACTGATTATATTTAAGTTTTCATTGATTAATTACTAAGTTATTAATAATCTACTACTATATTATTATTGATTTATGTATATCCATAAAGAAAGTAATCACAATGTATATTAGATGATATAATTTGCAAAATAGAGAAAGAAAGAAGAAAAAATTCAAGTTTAAATTATTGGAAAAGTATGAGTAAATGCTCTTAATTTACTCCATAGCTTAACATGTAATGATAAGTTAAAATCATAACTTTTTATACTAATATCAGTATTAAAACTAAATTAAATAAATATATACAATATATATTAAGTCAATATTTTGAATATTTTCTTCAAATTTTTTAATTCATGGTAATATAGTAGATATTAAGATAAGCATTATTGATGATTTGATTGAATTATTAGTGTATATATTTTTATACTTGTTAGTGACGTAAAATTGTATATGAAAAATTGAAAGTTTTGAAGTGTTTTGTCATCAATGGAAGTAATAAACTTTATCTTATGTTCCTATTTTTAAATATACAATTTTAAGTAAAAATTTTGTTTTATATATATATATATATATAATAAAGTAATATGAACTTATTTACTAAATAAAATTTATAGAAATTAAATAGACAATAATTTTTAAAAATATTAGATTCATAATAATTACTTTTGTATTCTTCATAAATTTACTTTTACTAAACAAAAACATGATATATTTTTTATTGTTGCTTTATTCTAATTACCATCATTTAAAATAACATTTTTGAAATTTTGATGCCAGTCAACTTCTCTATTTAAAAAGAGTAAAGAATATTTTGCATTCTCCATTAAAAATTTCTTCTACTAAACGAAAACATAATATATTTTAAATTATTACTTCATTCTTATTACCATAATTCAAAATGGCTTTTTTGATATTTTGATATCAATTAATTTCTTCATTTG